TCTTTGGTCTGCACACATGCCTTCTGGAAATTAAAAAAGAAAAATGAGGGAAGGAAGGAGGGAGGGAGGGGAGAAAAGCAGGAAGGCAGGAAGCCAGGAAGGAAGGAAGGGAAGAAATGTCCAACAACAATGTAAGAAAATTACTCCCAGCCTCAAATGTAATTTTCAGCCAAATGTTATCAGTATCAGGGCAGAATTAAACCATCTTCATGTGAACGAACTCAAATATTCCTCCTGTGCATTCTTGGGTAAGAATGATTTCCTTTGGCAAAACAAGATGGGAATCCAAGAGAAGAAGCCATGGAATCCAGAACACAGGGTTCCACCAAGACAGGAGCGAAGAGGAGGCCCAAGTGATGGAGACTGGTTCAGGATGGATCCTGCCTGCCAGGATGGGCAGACCTGAGGCCACCAGCAGCAGGGGTGAAGGCACATGCCCAGAAAACTGGAGATGTGGGTGCATTCAGGAAGACATGGAAAAGCATTTCTGTTGGACCACTCGAGGAAGAATGGATGTATAAAAATCTAAACAAATGAGAGAGAGAGAGAGAGGCAGAGACAGAGAAAGAGTTGATTCTCTTGTTAAATAAGTTATTCCAAAAAGGAAACAAGTCATAATACACAGCTTGTTTTAGCAGCAAACAATATTAACATAATTGCAAAGATTAAATTGTGATTGATTTAGCCAAATTGTTACTGTATTAGTCTACTAATTACTAATTACTAGTACTGCATTAGTCTACTAAGGCTGTCATAACAAAAATATCACAGCTCGGGTGGCTTAAAACACAGAAATGTATTCTCTCACAGTTCTGGAGACTAGAAGTCCGAAGGCACTGGCAGAACTGGTTTCTCTGAGGCCTTTCCCCAGGGCTTGCAGACTGCTTTCTCTGTGTCCTCACAAGGTCACTTTTCTCTGTGTGCACTCATCCGTTAGATCATCCTCTTTTTTTCTTTCTTTCTTCCTCATCTTCTTTTTTAAGAATTATTTATTTAGGGACCAACAGATGGCGTAGCGGTTATGTCGCTGGACTTTTACAAGGCTAATCGGTTCAAGTTCCAGACCCCGTGGCTTGAAACTCATGCTGGGTGTGTGTGTGCATACATGCCCAAGATCCCTGGAGGAGAAGGGATTGCGGTGTGGCCATTCCCCCTGGGGGGTGATTTGTCACTTTCCCCCTCACTGTCTCTCTCTCTCTCTCTTGGGAGAGCACACTCACCGTTAAGGCAAAAACCTCTTTAAAAAATATTATTTACTTTTATTTATTATTATTTTAATTTGTTATGGGGCACACATACCCACCAAGTGAGAAAGCAAGCCACCAGGTCCAGGACTTGAACTATGGTCAACAATGTAGGAGTCCAGAGTCTTAACCACTATGCCACCCACTGACCCTCAGGTCTTCCTCTTTTATCAGGACCTCAGTCTTATCCAAATATGGTGGCCTCACATTTATGACATCATTTAATATTAACTACCTCTTCAAAAGCCCTATATCCCCATGCAGCCACATTGGAAGTTAGGACTTCAACATGTTTTGGGGAACACATGTTTTAGGGAGTTGGGGACAGGCAATGTTGCTGTGGGGAGGTAAGTCCTCTAATATTACACTAGATAGCAAGAAGTAACAATATAAGGAACTGGGACCAGCAGTTAGCATAATGGCTATGTCGCTGGACTCCCACGCAGTTGACCGCGGTTCACATCCCAGACTCGGTGGCTTAAAACTCACGCTGGGCACATGTGTGTGCGTGCCCAAGATCCTGAGAGGAGAATGGAGGAGAAGGGATTGTGGCGTGGCCATCCCCCCCAGGGGGTGATTTCTCGCTTTCTGTCTGTCTCTGTCTGGCGAGGGCACGTGCCGTATGGCAAAAACCTCTCCCCCCCAAAAAAAAAACTTCAGGAAGTTGTTCATGGAAAATGCATATTATGAGAAAACTAAGCATGAGATTTGAAATTTCATGCATCAGATTAGGTTTTCGCCCCAGGGCATGTGCACTTGCTGGAGAGAGACAGAGGAAAAGAGAAATCTACCTCTAGGGGGAATGGCCACATCACCATCCGTGGTCCTCCGTTCTCCTCTTGGAATTTTGGGCAAACATGCACCTGTGCCCAGCATAATTTTCAAGCTCCCAGGCCCAGGGCTCAAACAGCAGTCGGCTGTTTGGAAATCCAGTGCCTTAATCACCATGCCACCTGCTGGCCCCACAAACTTCTGAAGTCCCGCCCATAGAGGAGTATATTTTTGAGAAATGTGGAGGGGAATACTGGAAATAGTATAGAGAGTTGAAAAGTATTTAGCTCTAGAGTAAAACAGGTCAGCAACCTGCTAGTTTTCATTTAAGTTTTTAAGCATTATTTGAGTCTTTGATCCTTCATGGCAAACCCTGCAATGGATGTGCTTACCGCCACTCCCTCCTTGCCTGCTCCTCCAAATAGCAACGAGGCTGGGAAATGCCTTCAACTTAAGGGCAGGCTTGACTGGTACCGGAGACTGGCTCTGGAACAGAAGACTTGCCCATCTTTCTGGCAGGGTCCCTCCCACAATGAAGTAGGAAGCCGGGGGTTCACCGCGTGCACGGTGAGTGTATGGCACCCAACGCTGAGGGCCGCCACTTTGGTACAGGCTGGTGCTATGGAAGGCAGGACGGAGAGACAGGAAGAACCTGGGACCTGAACAACACCTCTGGACATCGGAATCATTCAGCCAGAAGACTTCCAGCCCCGGCTCCTGATGTGGAACATCAGATTATTTTTTATTAGGTATGCTGCCTGAGGAGCTCCTCACACCTGCAGCTTAACGCACCCTGAGAGAGCCATACGTGGATAAAACTGCTAAAAATAAAAATGCACTTTTTAAAGTAGAGCACACAGTATTTGATATAGATGTGAATATACACAAATATGTGAAAATATTAATACTCTGGTAGATTTTTAAACATTTCTCTGTATTCATCAGGTGTTCTACATAACAAGTATTACTGTATGATTTAGATGGTTTCACTATCGCATTCTTCCTTTGCTCTGTGGATGGTCAACCTTGTTGTTAAGAGCTTTCGTTTTTTTATTTCGTATTGTGAATCTTGTGTTTCTCTTCTTCCGATGGTTGAGTCTTCTCCCGTCTTAGTCAGTTGTGTTGCTGTGACAGAAATACCTGAGGCTGGGTTATTTATAAAGAAAAGAGGCTTATGTGGCTTGTAAGTCCAGCGGCTGCGAAGTCCAAAAGCAATGGCGCTGACATCTCGTGCTGTCACAACGCGGCTTAAAGGAGTGGAAAGGTCGGCTCTGCAGACGCCACAGCCCGAGTCTCTCACCCTCAACCATGGTCAGCCTCGCCTGTTCGACATTGCTGTTGACAGCGAGCCCTTGGGCCCCGTCGTCTTCAAGCTGTTTGCAGACAAAGTTCCAAAGACAACAGAAAACTTCCGTGCTTTGAGCACTGGAGAGAAAGGATTTGGTTATAAGGGTTTCTGCTTTCACAGAATTATTCCAGGGTGGCGACTTCACACGCCATAATGGTACTGGTGGCCACTCCATCTGTGGTGAGAAATTCGATGATGAAAACTTCATCCTGAAACATACAGGTCCTGGCAACTTGTCTATGGCAAATGCTGGACCCAGCACAAACAGTTCTCAGGTTTTCATCTGCACTCCAAGACTGAGTGGTTGGATGGCAAGCATGTGGTCTTTGGCAAGGTGAAAGAGGGCATGAATATTGTGGAAGTCATGAAGCGCTTTGGGTCCAAGAATGGCAAGACCAGCAAGAAGACCACCATTGCTGACTGTGGACAACTCTGATGAATTTGACTTGTTCTCTCTTAACCAGACCATTCCCTCTGTGGCTCAGGAGAGCACCCTCCACCCCATCTGCTTGCTGTGTCCTGTAACCCGTGCTCCCGCTGCAGTTCTTTGGGTTCCATCTTTTCCTTATTCCCTTCCAAATCTAGCTGAATTGAAAAGTGAAGTTTATGATTATGAAATAAAAACCAAGTAACAACAACAAAAAAAGGAGTGGAAAGGTCAGGGGTCAGGGGCACATGCAACCAACTGTGTTCCTAACAGCCTACCCCCAGAAAAACAGCTCGTTCCCACAAGAACTTCCTCTCTGGAGATGGCATTAATCTATTTATGAGGACGGTGCCCCAAGATATGAACACGGCCCACCAGGACACACACACCCCCACCCCTCGTAAAGGTCCCGCCACTCCTCAACAGCATTACACTAGGGATGAAGCGTCTGGCACAGGAACCTCTGGGGTACACCTTTTGCCTCTTTGGTTGTGTCTCGGGTTTCAACAGCTCAGATATTAGCAGGTTAGTCTGACACCAGCTGCTCTGCCATTTCTGTAATATGGTCTAAATGCTATTTAAAATAAAACAAAATCCAACTTGCTTTTATCTGTGGAAATCTATGGAGTTCTACGTTTGTGTGCCTTATAAACAGTGTATCACCAGAAAACCCCCATTCGGTGCCGGCACTTAGTGTAGAGCTCTCAGGGCATCCCTGCGCCCCAGGACCTCCTGGTTGTCTCCTGGCCGGCTCCCCCTCTCCCCACCTCTCAGCCCATGTGGACAGCTCCCACTCCACCTAGGCTTCAACTTCAGCATCCTCTCCTTGCAGCAGCTCTTCCTCCAGCTTGGTTACCCTGTGAGCTCTCACAGCCACCCGGGCCCTGCCCTGTCCTCTCAGCACACAGCAGGGCCTGTGACTTCATAGCCATCGCCAGAACAGTGCGTGCTACTCCTGCTGAGGACCTTAGTGACAAGGTTAGGGAAGGTGTCCTGGAACGGCTGGTGCTTCCAAGGGAATCCCAGGGGTGGGGAAACCCCAAGGAACCCTGCACACCACCCAGAAATCCAAGCCCCAGTCCTAGACTTCTGGGAAGCCCCTCCTCTCCCTCCATCAGGGTTGGTGACATCTGCCAGGTGAAAGGTTGAACTTCACACTCCATCAATCCACCTTTCCTAAACACAAAAGCTGAATGACTGAACACAGTTGTAAGAAGAGAGAAAAAAGTTTATTGTGTTGAGATCTTGTTTTCATTACAGTACCAGGAAATTCTTTCTCGGTTCCCTCCAACACAGAGATGCTGCTGACCTTTACAACCCCGATGCTGATCCTGAGCAAGGGGCATCAGCACCTGAACACTATGTTGCATTTAATGGGTAGGAGTACAGTAAAATAGGGTATCTAGAAAGGTTTCTTAAGCACATCATTTTTTTTAAAACCTCTATTTTCCCACGTTTATCTTGTTACTTCCATGGGTGACTATTTAGAAAACATGGTACCTGACCATCTTCTGTTCCCAAATTGTCAACCTTAGGTTAATGTATTTAGCTTTTCGGGAGGAAGTGTCTTTTTCTCTGGAAATATAAATGGTGAGAAGTAAGGCAATGCATGACATATGGGTGGGGGAGGCCCGAGTGCCACCCCCGACTTCCGTCCCACAGGCCTCTGCAGTGTGGGCTGACTGGGAGCCTGCAGAGGGCCTCCCACGCAAACTCATTACCGGTGCATTTAACTGCATGGACAGCTTCCAAGCAACAGGTAGCCACTCAGCTGATTCTGTGGGTTTTGTTTTGTTTATAAACAATCAACACTCGATGACACCCTGGGGGGAATGAGACGCTTAATTCGATCTACTGACTTGCTGCTACAACTGTTAACCACGTCATTTCTGCATTAATTAGAGAAACCAAAGACCAAAGAATGAATGAGATTTGTATCCTCCAGACACCAATAACCACCAGAGTTAATGATGTTTAATTTGCTCAAATAAAATCAGGTAATTGCCAAAGTTCTGATTAGGATCTTTTTCTATGTCAAGGCAGAGAAACTATGAATTTAAATTTAAAAATGTTACCCCACCAAACTAGACACATGACAAGCTATATTAAGGTGATTGACTCAGATAAACCGACAAAAATGTTCGCATAAAATCAAGTAGCTTAAAAACGATTAAATGACACAATGGAATATATTAAAAACGTTGCACATAATACACCGTTTATTATTCACTCTTCATTTTTGTTACCAAGAGAAAGTTTCCATCAGGTGGCCTTGCCAGTACATTTCCATGAATTTGGACAGCACAGCACTGAGGCTGCCCACATGGGGAGGTTCCTCGTTTGTGCCCGGACTTCCTGAGTACACTGGGCATGCACGTGCCCATGACCCAGGGCTGGTTGGTGCCAGAGGTGGATGGTAGTGTCAAGACCCTGTTGGGGGTGTTGTCTCTTTCACTCATGGAAAAGGTAAGTAAATAAACTCAACAAAAGCAATTAGAATTTCCCTGTAACTCACCCCACCCCCCACCCCTTGCCCTCATTAAACCCTTGAGGGGATGTATTTCTTTTAAAGAGACAGCAAGCATGGCAATTTTGGAAAGTGATTATTTTCAAGTATCTGAATGCACTCGTGGAGAGAGGTGGAGGACCGAGATGGCACAGCGGCAAAATGTCACAGAGAGGCAAAGTCACTTGAGACTCCTTGTCCTGAGAGTGGTATCTGACCTGTTCCCAACTGCGTCAGGGAAGTGTAACTTCTGGCTAAAGGAAGCTGGATTTCCTTCTTCCCTATCGACTGGACCAGTTTCCTCCCCACACCGCATTACCATCCCTAGCCCTCAGCCCTTCATTTAGGAACTTGGTCCCCACCACTAGATGAAAGTTGTTCATTCAGGCAGGGCTTGATGAGGTCCTGAACATGAGGACTAAGGACAGGAGAGTAAACTAAGCTCCCACTATGGAAAACATTTCTTAACACAGAGAACACATGTGATCTGCGCTCTCCGAGGTCTAAGTTCACACCCTGCATGGGCCTCCTGTGATGCTCGTGCACCCAACAGAAACATGAGGTCTGTGTGGTTGAATTCGAAACGCGACGTCTTGACAAACTCACTTCATCACCTATGGGAAAGCAGCATGCCCCCACCCTCCTCCACTTTTAGAGGCCCTGCCCATGAGTGCCCCATGGCCCAGCAGAAAGTAGCAGGGCCGGGCTGTCGCTGTCACTGTGCACACTGCATCCGAGCAGGCTCACACGACTGCAGGCATGCCACTGTGACACGTCACGTTATTCCACTACTCAGCCATGAACAGTTCAGCAAGATTTTCCATTACGGTGTGACGAGAATTAAAACCCCTCACTCGCACTAGAGCTTAAGCACAACACAGAGGGCAGATTCCAGAGGCTTGAACATTCGACACAATCAATTCCTGCTTCTCGGAAAGAAAGCTCACTTCTCTTTTTGATCACGGTACACACTTTCTTGTAACAGAGATGACAAAGCTGACCAAGACTTCATCTCAGTGGTGACATGATTTCCTAGAGCACTAGGTCAATTCTGAAAGGTGATTATGCCACATGGGGCAAGAACAGAAAGTGGCAGGAGGAGAAAGGGGCCTGGACTATTTCAGAAGCTGGGTCTCACATGATTCAGTCGGCCATTAAGATGGTGGCTCGGTGGTGACAGATAAGGGGCAGTAAGTGACATAGGACACTCAATCTGCACCCTCCTTACACAGAATAAGCGGGGTCTTCAGAAAGTTCATGGAAAGTGCTTATGAGGAAATTATGCATGGATGTAAAAAAAATTTATAAATCATACATTAATCCCATGTCTCCATAAACTTTCTGAAGTCCCTTCAAATGCCTAAGACACTTGGAAGAAATACGCAGAGAAAAGTGGCCAGTTCCACATCCTCCAGGAACCAGCATTTGAAAAGCACAGCCCAGTGACCTGTGCATCCCGGGCCCCCCTCCCAGACCACACACTCGGAAAATGCACATTTCTGCTCCTGGTCTGGTGGCAGCAGCCTCTCTGAAGGCTTAATAAAATGTGAGGATGACACCAGACTGATTTTCTTAGTGTCACTGCTCCTACTCCTTCAGCTGCTCTGAGCAGGGTAAGGACAGCCTCTGTCAAGGGCACTCAGGGGCCCTCTGCAGTCTCAGATCAATTTATTTATCTAGTTCTCTTTTGAGCTCTCACCTCTCCAATTTTTAATGGAATTATTAAAACAAAGTCAAAAGCTCCTTCAGATGCTGGGAGGCTTCTAAGTAAACTTTTGCATTTAAACACGAGAAAAATAAATAACATGATGCTTTTTAAAAAAACTATACATCAATATATTACCTGGCTTAGAAGGGAGAGAACCTGGCTACCCTGCACAACCTCTCCTTCCATATTAAAAAGCAGGCAAAATATGCAAGAAAAAGCCTGGTTCCTTGGAAACTGGTGCTGCAGAGCCAGCGGCCTGGGCAGAGCCAAGACCCTACTAGTCCCAGTGACAGACCTAGAGACTCCCCAGCCCACCTGGCAGCAATCCTAAACTGCCCCCATGAAGACACGCAGCCACCACCAGAGACCAGCAGGCAGCATGATGGGGCCAACCGACATCAGAGCTGGTGCGGGGCTGGTAGATTCAGCAAGCCAAAGGTGATCCACGGTGTAAAAATAAAGGGAATACAGGACAGCATATGGAAAAGCCCAAGTTCCACAGTCAGAGTCTTTCCTGGTCTTAAGTCCTGCAGAGAAAAGTTCAAGCCAATGTGCCCTCTGTCTACGAAGGTCCCACACAGGAGAGGCCAACGTGCCAATTATCCCGAAGGATCACTAGAGGGGCTTATATGGCTGTATCCAGTGAGAAAATTGATAGAAGACTTTTTAGAAAGTGAGAGGCAAAAGGAAAGACTTTCACAAGTACAAAAATTATTTATAAAACAATTGCCTAAAAAGTTCACCAGGGTTGGGTGTGGGGTGATAATGTTTTCACTTCAGGTCAGCAACGTTTGTACTGATGGTTTATGAAGGACAAAGGCCATTGCTGGTCTTCCTCTATTCCCTCAACAACCCAGAGGCCCCCACTCCTGGTTTCTCCCTGCTCTCACCCACCCCATCCCCATCCTGTCCCAAATTAATTAGCTCAGCGGCTGCACCGTGCCAGCTCTGAAGACACGTGACTGCTGGTTGGGTTTGATTACACGATGAACCTAACGGCCGGGAAGAGAACGCAAGGCAGGCATGAGGAGCACATCGGCATGGCCCTTGGGCAGGTGGACCTTGGACAAAGCTTTGCCAGCTTGACCCACTGCAGGGTGGGCATCTGCAGGGCAGCACAGGCTGCAGGTAAACTGAGGTAAGGAAGACCGCAGCAGCTCCGGCAGGCCTGCCTCCCGTGACGGTGCAGCATGTGTGTGCTCTTAGGTGTGGGCACAAGGGATTCGGCATCTTCCAGTTGCAGCTGCCACCCCCTGCTCGGCAGAAGGCTCTTTACAGAGTCCCAGAGGTCTGCTACCGCCATTGTCTTGGGCCTAGAACCAGCGGTGCCACACCCCAGAGAGCTCCAGCGCCCACAGGTGTGCAGAAGTCGCAGCAGGTGCTCAGGTCAAGAGACGCCAGGCCTGCCCAGCCATCAGCAGTTTATAGACAGATCAGAAAAACTAGAGCTTAGTACAAAACTGTTCTCCAAATGGGGCATCTCCTATCCTCTCAGCGATCATAACTCTTCCCGTTTCTGAGGTCCTACAGAAAGGAGAACAACAGAAAATAAGCATGTTATTCTCAAGAAACAAAAGTTCAGAGGGCCCTCACCCATTTTATCCCTCTTTTTAATTTTTCAGAGCTTTTGGGTTGGTGTTTTTGTATTGTATTTTGAAAATGGAAACAGAATAAAGGAGATGTCTTTATTTAAAAAAAACATAAAAACTTGGGACCAGCAGATGGCATAATGGTTATGTCGCTGGACTCCCACTCGACTGTAGTTTGAGTCTTGGACCAAGTGGCTTAAACTCATAGGGAGTGAGGGGTAGCAGCAGGTGTCATGGTGGTTAAGGGCGCTGGACTCCCATACGGCCAGCTGATACATCATGAATTTTCTGACAGCCCAATATCAATTGATGGGCTGATCAGGTATGGAAACCCTAAACAGTGTATGTCTTTGCTTGATTCATGCATGCTTTGTTCTTGGCATATAAAACCTGAGCCTATGGGGGCCAGCAGATGGCATGGTGGTTACGTGGCTGGACTCCCACTTGGTCGACCGTGGTTCGAGTCTCGGACCCGGTGGCTTAAACTCACACCATGCATGTGTGCATGCGTGCCCAAGATCCCGAGAGGAGAATGGAGGAGAAGGGATTGCGGTATAGCCACCCCCCCGGGGGTAATTTCTCGCTTTCTATCTCTCTGTCTCTCTCTGTCTTTCTGGTACACGCATGTGCCCTATAGCAAAAACCTCTCCAAAAAAAAAAAAAAATCTCATGCTGATCACATGTATCCTGAGAGGAGAATGGAGGAAAAGGGATTGTGGCATGGCTATTCCCCTGGGGGGGTGGTTTCTGTCTCTCTGGTGAGCCCACATGCCCGACAGCAAAAATCTCTCTAAAATAAATAAATAAATAAATAAATAAATAATATAAAAACTACTTTCAAACCCTACTCCAAATGAACTGTGTTCATCAGTGCATTATTGATTTAGATTAAAACACATTTTAGTCAGGAACCGTTTTTACTTAATAACATATAAACATTTTCCTATGTATCAGTGTAGCTCATTTTAGATGTTTAAACTGTTTTTAATGCTTTTAACATGTAAATAATAATAATTTTCATGTATACTACTTTTTTCTTGTGTTAATAATTTTCATGTATACTACTTTTTTCTTGTGTTTAATTATTTCTTCAAGATAAATTCTCAAAAGAAGACTCATCGAGGGCATACACACAGTAAAAACTCTTGGTGACAGAC